GTAGGTTCTGAAAGTTGTTGAGACGTTTACTGATTATAGTCGTCAGTCTATGGATATGACATAAAATGGATGTTCCGGAATATATAAGAGGTGATACAACTAAAGCTACAAAAAAATTGTTACTGATTAAATCAAAACCATCGTACGACAAATAATATGAAATATTTACTATTGGAGACTGAGAAATAAAGTAATACGCATAACCAAGATCGTAATATTAACTTACTTTGGTTTTATTTGATATCAGTCCAGATTTCTCAATTTTTTTTATTTTAGTCTGAATAATATTCTGCAAATACTTGTGGACTAAATATTCCATTATAACGAGCGTTCAAATAAAAACGTGGTCAATCTGGTTCTGAAAATTTGGACGTAGGGCGTAGCGTATAGCAAATGAACTTAAACGTCATCTGTCAAAGCGCTATATCGCCGCTATCAATTTGAATATTTTCGCTTTAAAAAGCGTTTAAAATGGTGTTTTCTCAGGAACAAAAAGTGTTTATCATAGAGTCCTACTTTAGAAATGGACGCAAGATTGATGGAATATGGAAGTATTCTATTGAGGAATGTTTCATAGAATTTCAAAATCAATTTCCCGGCGTTGAGTACAAAATTTTTCAAAGTGCAGTTCAGCGTTGTGTTAATGTTTTTCGTGAAACGGGCAGTGTAACAAGAAAAGAAGGAAGCGGCCGACCTAAAAAGCGGACTGAAGAATTAAAAGAAAATGTCCAACAAATAATGGAAAATGCGCCAAGAACTTCTGTACGTGTTTTATCACAAATGGTGGGAGTATCAGTCGGTACCTGCCACACAGTGTTAAAAAAAGATTTGCGTTTGTTCTCCTATCGTTTAACTTGTCAGCAAGAACTTCATAATATCACCTTTTTTTCTGCTGAAGCCTGGTTTCATTTAAGTGGTTACGTAAACTCACAGAATATGAGAATGTGGTCTTCTGAAAAACCAGATAACTTTTTTGTAGAGGGCCCTCAACACGCTCAAAAATTTGGAGTTTGGTGTGCTCTCAATCGAAGGAGGATTTATGGACCTATTTTTTTTAATGGTACTCTTACTGCGCAAAGGTACAGAGAAGAAATTATCGCTCCTTTTGTTAACCAGCTGGAAGAAAACGAAATTACAAACTTTTACTTTCAACAAGATGGCGCAAGGGCACATACGGCAGGCGAGACAATGAATATGTTGAGGGAAGTTTTCAAAAATCGACTAATAAGTCTCAATGCTGAACAAGAATTTCCACCGAGGTCATGTGATATTACGCCGTGTGATTTCTTTTTGTGGCCTTACCTTAACAACACTATTTTTGAACTGCCTATTCCTGATTTAAACCATTTGCAGGCTCGACTTATAGACAAGATTCGTGAAATTAATAATACCCTGAGCATCTTAGAAAATGTCTTTAATTCTTTGAGGAACAGGTGTGAAAAGTGTTTGGAACAAGGAGGGGGACACTTTCAACAGCTGCTTTAATTTATTGTTATAACAAGGAGGGGGACACTTTCCGCAGCTCCTTTAATTGTTTGTTATTGTTATCACGATTATTCTTTAAAATAAAGTTATATAGTCATTAACGTTATTGAAACTGACAGCTGCTATACAGCTCGTTATGAGGTTAAGTTGGTCGCTATAAGCTACTCCCTACGTCCAATGTGTCAGAGCCAACTTCGACCACGTTTTTATTTGAACGCTCGTTATAATCCACATTAATAATGGCTCTTTCTATTTTCCTCGCCTTGCGCATTTTTGAAAATAAAAGGATAAGTTCCGAAGAAATCCAAACTATTGGAAAAGAAACAGATTTTGGCTTTATTATTAATAAAACTCCAGATCAGACTTATCTCGTACAAAAAGTAGTTGGTTGGTTGGTGATGGGTGTTTTTGGAAAATTAAGACAATGCTACAAGTTTATTTGTTACAGTACCAGTTACTAAAACTAGTGCTTCAAAAAAATTTCACTATTGTGGAGAAAGTTACAATTAACACTTTGAAACTGGTCAAGAAACATATTTAATTGAGGCCAAAAGGAATAAAGTTAACTAAACTGTCTCTATGACACTTAGAAAACAGAATTAAATGTCAACATTTTATGACGCTTTTCGAAAAAACTAAATTTTTAACTAAGAACAACTGAAGAAACAATAGTTATCTATGGTACAAGAGTTAAAAGTAACGTGGCAAATAAAATCACTTAAACTGGCTAAAAAAAATGAATTTTAAATTTAGCAATACGGCTTTCTATTATCTTGAGAAGAATGCGTATTACTATTAGTGGAGTCAAGATAGCTTAAAATTACGCATTATTTCGAAATAATTATGGGAAGTATGGATTTTCCTAAAACCTCATGAAATTACTTGGAGGTAAATATTAGGAAAAAGTTATAAACTTATTTTTGTACGCTAATTGTTTTTTAATAGTTTAAACAATAAAAAATAGTTTTTTTTAAGAACATTTAAAATAATTCAATGAATTTTAAATCGAATTCTTTCAAATTGACAATATAGGGTTTTCGATGTCGCTGAACAAGAATATGATGTCGGAAAATGAAAATTCAAAATGGCTGATCCAATATGGCCGACTATTTTAAACAATTTATTTAACAATTGTCGATTTTAAATCAAACTCGCTTATATTTGTAATATAGGGGTTTTTGACGTCGCTAAACAAGAATATGATGTCGGAAAATGAAAATTCAAAATGGCTGATCCAATATGGCCGACTATTTTAAACAATTTATTTAACAATTACTGATTTTAAATCAAACTCGCTTATATTTGTAATATAGGGGTTTTTGACGTTGCTAAACAAGAATATGATGTCAAAAAATGAAAATTCTAAATGGCTGATCCAACATGGCCGACTATTTTAAACAATTTATTTAAGAATTATCGATTTTAAATCAAACTCGCTTATATTTGTAAAATAGGGGTTTTTGAGGCCGCTGAACAAGAATATGATGTCGGAAAATGAAAATTCAAAATGGCTGATCCAATATGGCCGACTATTTTAAACAATTTATTCAACAATTATTAGGTTCGAAAAATGAAAATTGTAAATGGCTAAAGAGGTTTTATTGAAAATATGTTTTATTTTTTTAAAAACAAATTTATTACAAAATAATTAATTTTTAAATCTCATCGAGTTTTTGCTCTTCTTCGAAAATAATTGAGCAATTAAGGCTTTAAGTCAATAAAATTGAAAAAAAAAATAGATTTTAAATACAAAATTACAAAATCAACAACCCCTATTATTTATTTGTTCATTAATTATTTTAAAAATGGATCAATATTCATATATAAATAATAAACTCATACATTTACAGGTTTAGCATAAAACAAAACGAATATAAATATCTTAAATGCAAACTGAAGATTATTTGTAATATTAAGTAATAATATTACCTACATTAAAGAATTACAAGTGTACAAGAGTATAACCTCAAAATGGACAAAATATGTGAATAATACACTTTTTAACACACTGATCACTGCAACTTACTCGAAAACATAAAAATCAAATTCTTATACCATTTATAATAATAATTATTTAATTCTTATAAACGAAAAACGCTTTTAAAATAAATAAAACTGTATGTAACAAAAAAATATTTGGTGTGCTCACTGCTTGGCTTCGTCGCCCAAACTGACAAGAAAAACAACTTTCAAAACTCCCCTTCGCAAGCAAGGCTACAGAATATACGTTTTAAAAATGAATATTAAATCAATTTATCAAAAAAAGTAATTTTTTTGTTGTTATAACAATTTTCCACTTATTACTATAAAAAAAAAAAAATATTTTTCGCTGTATTTACTGTTTTTAAGGTCTTAACTTAATTCTTTGATGGTTTATTAAACAAAAAAATTGTTTAAACTTTATTTAACAACAAATTTCACGGAATTTTCATGAAATATTTTTATTTTTTGTTATTTTTTGTTTTTCAACTATTTCAATTTTTTAAGAAAAATAAAATACATCATCTTAAAGTAAAGATTTTAAGCTTTAAAAAGTGCTTTCATAAAGTTTCAATATCACATTTACAACTATCTATAAAGTATGGTCTAAAAAGTCAAATTTGTAATATTTTAAAATTATTGAATATGTTGGGCTCAATATTTTTCAAATTAAATTTTTTAAATTTTTTCCATATCGCTCAATAGTCATTTGAAGAGTAATATGTCAAAGTTACAGATATTTGTTTTAAAAATTAAAAGAATGACAGCTATTTTATTATTATTGTACAAAATTATATAGAATGACGTAACTTTGTATACGTACTATATATTTTTTTTTCTCAAGTTTAAAGACATAAAATTTTGATAGCCGTATGACTCGTCTTTCATTTAAATTTTTGTGAGGTCGATTTGATCAATTAGATCAAAAGTTATAACAAATTTAGTGTAGCGCGCTCAGGGCCGCGCGCTCTTCGAGAGCTATATTTGGGGGCCGACCGTTTCTTTTTTCGTACGTTAGAAAAAAAATTCCACAGCCTTCAATTCGCATTTTAGAAAAAAACTTTATTAACATTTTCTATGTAAAACTTCCTGTTCTTTCGAATGGTGCAGTTATTTTTTTTTTAATTATATATTTTTTATATATATTTTGCTAAACTGTAATTTTGCAACTAATCTGTTAAATAGATAATTTAGCGTACACTCTACAGTTGGTAACTTTTTATATGTTGTTTCCGACAACTTTACAAAGCGAAAAATAAAAAGTTCTCTCTTCCAGTAATTTTTGCGAAGTCAAAATCTATCTTGACTCCACTATATATAGCATTTTATTTTTAACACTAGTGTTAAAAGTGTTTTGATTATAAAAGTCAATATTTAGATCACCTATAAATGAATTAAAAAATTCATTTTTAATGACAGTTTTACAAAAAAAATATTTACTTAATCCCTAATAACTATGATTCTTCCCGATGAGCTTTCATTTGTACCTCGGAAAATAAACGAGTTGTGGACAAAACAACTAAAGCAACTACCAGTAAGTTTAATAAATAGATTGGTTTTATTTACAAAAAACGTAAACATCAATTCAACACATACAACTTAGGTACTATAACTTAGTCGATATATCTTCTGTTTCCTTGGACGTGGTACCGTTGGCTTGTGTTTCTTCTTCGATGGAATCCCACCACTGGATCTCTCCCTTGGCGAATACGACGAAAAATATGTCGGAGGCTATGTACACGCAAGACGCTATGATGAATATCGTTCTCCACAGGCTCTTGTCAGTCTGAAAATTATTGTTAATTGTTTGTTTTATAATAGTAGGTACTATCCACCTGGATCTAATTTAAAAAAAATGCCAGTCTTAGCTAGTTTCAAGTGGTCGGTAAATAATACCGGCATGATTATTTTTTATTGAAGTATTAATTTCGTTTTATTTAATTAAGTTTTTTCATTTCACTTTTCCTACAAATATATCGGAGCTATTAAAAATCAAGCACTACTAGTAATAAATTATCTTATCAATAGAAACATGGATTACGGACGTAATTAGAGTTGTTATTGTTGACACAAGTGAACTTTTAACATGTGAATAAGACATGGCTGCGTGCGGTATTGAGATTTTTTTTCTGGAGAGTTTTTTAAGGTCCAACAAACATAGGAAAGTTTTTAGAGAATCTTAAGTATCTGTTGTGAAATATTTTCTGTATACAGGCTAGTACGACTCGATTGTTGCTGTGTTTTATTATACGTGGGAAGAATTAGTAACAAAGAGTTAATTTCTTACTCTATTTTAAATAAACAAATACCAATTATCCAAATGAGTCTAATGTAATTAATACAGAAACACACCTGATATATTGAGATTGTTAAATAGTACAATCATCCAAAGAAATATCCTGTATTCTCGTTGTTCTATGATTACTCTTAATAAAGACTGATAGTTCAATCAAATTGGATTTTAATGTGCCAAAATTTCATTCAGTAAAAACAAATTTCGTGGAATTGAACGAACTACTTTATCCCAGTTGAATGGTAGGCTAAAATGGCGTCGAAAGTTCGCAAAATACAGTTTTTTTCATCTAAAAAAAAGCTGAATATTTTAGAAAAAAAATGATTCGTGCAAAAGTTGTAGAACTCTTTATAGCATCTTGGGCTTAAAATTCCCTCGAAGAGTTTTCCAATTCCGTGCAAATTGTGCCCGTATTGCAAAATAATTGAAAATATGCGAAAAATCTACCGAAACTTTGACTTCTTTTTTGGGTCGAAAAATATAGATCTTTTTCTTATTGTTGAAATTTAATGGGAATGCTATTACTTATTGCCATTTGAATGCTGTCAATTTTTCACGAATTAAAAAAAAATGTCCTACATCATTGCGAACTATTTTTTAGGTATATTGAAGTAAAAATATTCACCTACAACATGTGTAAATTTCAGACAATAATATTAATATAATTATGATGTAGCGATTTTTTGAACAAAAAACAAAAAAATTTTCGGCTCCTGTTGGTCGTAGGACATTTTTTTTTAAATTCATGAAAAATTGTCGGCTTTCAAATGGCAATAAAGCCATTCCGAATAAATTTCAACGATAAGAAAAAAACCCACATTTTTCGAAAACTCGAAAAACTAAATTTTTGCAAAAATTACCTAATATTTTGCAATTTTACAAAAATGCACTTGCATATTCTACTTGCCAAGGACTACATATTCTGAAAGTTTCGGAAAAAATCTATTTTCGTTTTAAAGATGTAGAAGTTTTGAAGAAATGCAATTTTTCGCCGTTTTTTGCAATAACTAATACATTTGTTTATCAGTTGATGTCGGGCTGGGCTCAATTTTTTTGTTATAAAAAGTTCTACAGCCTTTGTCTAAAACATTTTCTTCTAAAATGTGTAATTTTTTTTATGAAAAAACTGTTTTTTACGATCTTTGGACGCCGTTTTGAAAATTAAGCCCTAACATTCAGCTAGAGTAAGGTGGTTCATTCAATTCCACGGAAGTTTTCCTAATATTTACGTGTCTTTGTTTACTGAACTAAATTTTGGCAAAAAAGCGAGGTATTTTGGACAATTTGATTATGATCACGTAAAAAACAGCTACTACAAATAATAAATCAAAAGATTTATTTGTAGTAACTAGACCTAGTTTTCTGGTATCGGAAAACATTGTTTGATTTCAACCGATAAGATTTTTTAGAAAAAATTGTTTGAATTATCTTAATATCTACAAAATAAAGTAAAATATGAGTTAATTCTTTTACCTACGACCACTACTGTAAATACTTAAAAACACACCGTCTGCGATCAATGTAAGATTCCTATTACGTACGGTAGAAAAATCGCACAGTTTTCCTAGCAACCGCCTAGCAACGGTCAATACAATACTGTTTGTATTGACCGGTGCTAGGCGGTTGCTAGAAAAACTGTACAATTTTTTTACCAAGCTGTGCGATTTTTTTACCGTACGACGTAATAGGAATCTTGCATTGATCGCAGACGGTGTGTTTTTAAGTATTTAAAGTAGTGGTCGTAGGTAAAGTATAGTACGTAATACGTGGTGTAATGCAATTACGCACTCATAGAATTACGCACTCGCCGCTACGCGGCGTCGTGCGTAACTTTTCCATTCGTGCGTAAAATGCTTTTTACAACACTTATTACGTAATATACTATTAAAGCCATACAAAGAAAATCCAAAAGAAAACGGTTTCCTATCTATTTAACAGAAATGCCAGGTGAAAACAACGGTATTCAAACGTAAGAATTAAATACGATTGGTAAAGTTGCGAATATCATCACTCTTCAGAAAAAGTGCGCTATAGAGCCCAAAAAAATCCTAAACCCGTCACAAAATGTCGATTTTTTACATTTATATTATTCCATTTACGTATTATCTATCTAATACTGGATTTGAGAACTCTAATCAAGTATTTGAGTCAACTAGTTAGGCAACCAACTCGTCAAACATATATAAATCATCAACGAAGATTATTTATTATACAGTATACAGTGTGTTTACGAACTTGGAAATTTATTTTTAATGAGAGACGTATCGATAAAAAAAACTATTGCTGCAAATTTACCTGCAGTTTTCCTGCAAATTTAGTAAAAATTGCCTAGGTATAGTAGGAAAAAACGATTTAATAATAGATCTGTTCCAACAAGAATCAGGGATTGGTTTCGAACCGTTCGAAATATTTGGCCAGCCAAGTTCTAAATGTGTCTTCAGTGAATATATCGCAAGAATTAGTTGGATGCACATTTCTGACGGTTCGGAACCAATCCCTGACTCTTGTTGGAACAGACCTAATATAATACAAATAATTGTGTGAGTACCACTGAATTATTTTTTTACTCTTGCACTTTTTTCTGTAAAATGCATCCTTATAGGCATTTTAATAATGTTCAAAACTGGTTGTAACTCCACAAGAAGGCATTTTAGAGAAAAAAATGCGGGAATAATGTTTTTATTTGGACTCTATTATTAACTATTTTAACAAAAAAAAATAGAGATTTCCACTGATTTCGGGCTATTGTTTGGGGTTAGGAAAAAGTCCTGGCATGATGGAGCATTTCTAACGGCTCCATCGTCTTCAGCGGGTTAAAATAGAGGGGGTATCATTCTCTGTTAAAAAATACGTAATTAATTAAATGAAAAACACAAACGCGTATCATGTTTTCGTTTCCAATGAACCATAAAACTTTAATAGTATTGTAGTGGCGCCATCTAACCATTGCTAGAGGTAATTCTTTGTAAATCAGTGGTAATATTGATGTACAGAAGAATTTTCGAATAGCACAACTAAAATGTATTCATTTCAAGTTTCACATGACAAATGTATGTACCCACCTCATCTGTTACGATTAGTTGTACAACGAGGGGTGCTATTATGGAAAATGAGTTCGAAGACCCGTTCCCTATGCCCATGAGAACCCCCGAGAACTTGGGCGTCAAGTCGATATGATTAACTTGGAAGCCGCAGAACACGGCGGCGTTGATGCCCACTGCTATCACCAACATGACGACAGAGAGCGAGGTGGCGTCTTCCGGAAGGAAACCCAGGATGAACAGTGCCGCCGCAGGCACGAAGGTTCCTAGAACCAAAAGGGTCGGTATTGATACCATTCATTTCATCAAAAATACAGGGTAATTCGCAACTTATCCAAAAAAATCTGGGAATAGATGTGTCATGAGAAATGGAGTTAACATTGTAATAAAAATGTCTGTAAAATCCCTATAGTTTCCGAGAAAAAAATTATTGAAGTTGTAGTATTTTCAACCCGTATATCTCTGGACTACTGTAGTCTTTAGCGTCATTCGAATACTGAAATCCAATTTTAGTATTAAAGTTTCGCGATAGTGTTTACATTAGTTTTTCAAGTGTCAAAAATGGTTTACGTGTATAGCAACTCGAGTTGATGGATTTCGTTTTAATTTATGATGAAGCAAATCAGCATATGTGTTATGGGCAAAAATGTGTTTACACGTCGGTGGACAAAATGTTGAACTAAAGGCTACTATAATACAAGTTGAATAATAAATTTGTGACCGAGAGAAAATATTTATGTTATTATTAACAAAGTATTTGCAAGAACTCGTTTGTTATCATAACAATAAAATGTATTGTAGTGCAGCCACTGAAGCTGAAAATCAGCTGTAACCTCCGAATTCTTTGAAACTGCATGGATTTGCATGAAAATTTAGAATAAGGCTCATCTTAGACTCAAGTTCAAAAGTGGCATAAGCCCGATTGACGCTTTTTGTTTTTTTTTTGGGGTAAAAACTACCCCTAAGTGAAAAAATTAAGTTTTAAGCATTTTATTGATAAAAATCTTGTTCAAGTACAAAAATTAAATAATGTTCCATGTTCTCGAACATGTTTTATGATATATTTGATCTTTTCAACCTTTTATTTAACCCTTAAAAACTACCCCTATGCAAAAAAATAATGATAAAAAATTACTTTTTAAAGATTTGGAATGATTAAATTGTGCAATTATTTAAAATAAAAGTTACCTTATAAATAATAAAATAATTTTTCCCTTTCAACCCATAAAAACCACCCCTGTATTGACAAAAATGATAAAAAATTACTTTTAAAAAGCTTGGAATGCTTTAACGGTGCAATTATTTAAAATAAAAATTCCTTCATTGCTTATGAACGAATTTGTAACTCATAATACTTTTCAACCCTTATTAATCACCCCTATGCTAAAAAAAAATGATAAAAAATTACGTTTTAAATCTTGGAATGCTATAATTGTGCAATAATTTAAAATAAAAATTCCCTTATATTGTTTATAAAATAATATTTTACTTTTGCCATTTTCAACTCTTATAAACTACCCTTTTACCAATATTAATGTAAAATATTTTTATTATAATCGATTTTTAAATATAATCAATCATAAAAAAAATTGCTAAGCTGCATATAAACTTTTATGACGCGCACTTGAATCCTAACATTTTGCTCCAAAAATGAGAAAGCCTATTTTGCTCCGAAAAAATGTCATTGTTTTTTTTACCATAATTCGGTTAATTTTGAAGCTATAGTATCCTACAAAAAAGCATTTTAAAGATAATTTCAAGAGCTGTAAGATCGTTTGCATATAAAACCTTTTAAGTCCTTCGTTTTTTTAAGGGAAAGGATCGAAGGGCTCGAGACAGGTCGTATTTTCACTAAAATGAATACTTCAAGCGGCGATATCTCCTTTATTTTTTATGCTATAGGAATAAAACAAAAAGCAAAATATTTGTTGAAAAAAAAGCTACATTTTTGTTGTCTATCATTTTTTACGTATCTTTCATAGTTTCAGAGTTATTATATAGGTAAGGCAATTTTTTTTGAATAATGAAAAATACGTTTTCAACTTTTACCGTACATTATTTAAAAAATACGCATTCTAAACCGGTCTAACTTCAGGATCGTATGAAAAACACTAAAACAAAACTAATTGTAAAAGGTCTGTGAATAATTTTAATTCTGATGGAAATGGTACAGCGTTTACTGCCATTTTTCCTTAAAAATATGAGCAACCCATCTGTTTTTGACGATAACACCTTCAATTTTGTTCTAATTAACTTTTATAAGGGCTCATTTTGAAGGTCTTTTTGAGTACTACAAAAAAACTCATGGAGCGTTATACACGTAAAATTAATCCCTCTTCCGTTATTTGACGTTGAATACATTGATTCGAGTATTCCCCCCAAAACAAGTCCCTGTCCACTAACCATATTTCGCTTTGTATAGGACGTACAACACTTTTTAAAAAATGATTTTCTTTATTTATTTATAAGCTACATTTTTGTTCACTACACTTTCTTTATAAAATGAGTAGTTATTCGCGAAAAATACTTTGAAAAGGTGTTTTTTTTTCTCAAAATTACAAGTTTTCAATCGTGAATAACTAAAAACTATTGATTTCTCGAAAAAATTCTTCGAATATTTTTTGCTCAAAATTTGATTCTCTATCGATTTCCGGCGAAATTTTTGAAAAAAATTTCCACCCCCAAGAAGGGGTGTCAACCCCCAACAGGGTTTCAAAGAAGGTGAAAAGCTTCAATGACTGTATTATTGCCCCTAGTTAACAGCTCATTTGAAATTATATTTTATTCAAGGATCTATCTGCCCTGAGTTGCTTTAATCGGATAAGCGAATTTACCTTCTTGGAACTTATTCAGTTGGTAGTGAGCTCTCATTTGTAGCAAATTAGGACACACTTTGTGTTAACTGAGACCTAACTTAAAATTTTCCCGAATAAACTGTCTCCGAATATTCTTCCCGAGATGGGCAGATCAAAAACGATAAGAGTTCACAGTATCATTGACAAAGACAATAGGGCTTGTAGGAGAGTACTTGAGTAGGTTTCTTCTATTCAAAAATTTTACTTATGTAGGTCTGGTAGTTTGGTCAAGTTAGTTGAAATAGGTACTTACCTATTGAATTAAACAACTTTCTGGCACCTCCTCTGGAGATACATTCATTATTTATTAGATAATCAGACAAGTGGCCAAATACGAAGCTGAAGATGAAGAGTGCCAAATAGGGACCAGCAGACAACAGACTGTTCTGTAAAAAAAAAAAAATTTCCTTTGGTGAACAGTGTTATGTAAAGGGCAATGTAATAAGGGCATTATAGACTATTTGCATCCAAAAATTTTATAGAAAATACCTTCAATGTACAGTCATTCAAAGTCATAATTTCATCAATCTAAATATATTGCTAAATCTGGAATAGCGAAAATGATAAAAGTTTCTATAACAATATTCGCCAGATCATCAAGTACGCTAGTTTATTATGCCAAACTTGTTGTTATTTTTAGCACGGGTCAATGATTTAGTTACATATCACATTATTATTATACCCATCACTTGACACATAAATTGGTGTATATGATTGATGCGCCACGCTAATCCCACCTATCTGATAACAGCTTTAATCTAATTGTCCTGATTTTCCCAAACGTAAGTCATCAGAATTACGAGATTACACAGCTTTTACCCACTCTAAACGAAAACAATATCTTTCCCAAATCTCCAGGTAATACCCAATAGCGTTCGTCTTTATCACCAAACGCCTGGCTAAGCCAAAATCCGGATTAGGTCTTGCTCGTCAAAAACTTTTTAAACCAATCAGTTTAACGACGAGTTTTTATGGCGACAGATTCCTTTGATTTGTTTTCATAATAGAAAAGGGAACATAGATGATATTTAAAGAAAATCTTTTACTTCAGCTTATTCAAGTCATTCTTTGCACCGATTAAGATTATGCTGTGACGTTTTCTTATTGCAATGTAATTTATTATTGACTGAATGCTATTTTACTGATACTTACTGATTCCATATCGAACTTCATGACTTTGTTCATGTAGTTGGGCATCTCTGTCAACAATGTGGAGTAGCCCCAGTTCTGACCGAAGTTACCAACGATTATGGCCCAGGCTGGTAAGGAGGTGAAGATGGCTTTCCAGGGAGTTGCCACTGTCTGAAAATAATGTAAACTTTATCACATACAAGCTATTTTCAATTTTGCAACAATTATGTCCCAACAAAACCATTTCGTGCTTTGTCTGTTGAAATTTAAAGACGATTTGGACAATCCCGTGAGGGTTACATATATTTTTTTAGTTTATTTGCAATTGCTTTTTGTTTTTCTTCATAAAAATAACAGAATTAAGATAGCCATCTAAATCTGTCAATTATTATTGTTCAATAAAGCTGAGCAACGATCAATCATGCTGTCAAAGATATAATTTTACTATTATAATTCCTTCCATTTGTAAGATATGTTAATAAACATTTCTAGTATGTGCAACTAACAATATCAATCCACTAAGTACGCAGTTCTGATCAAAATATTTGGTTTCACTGTAATTAATGTTTTTTATCCAGTAGATTACAAGCCTTTCTTGCGTTAGGCATGCTTATCACTGATAATGATTATCTGCCTTAAAGATTAAATTAAGTAATTTTAAGAGCGATGCTTTACAGAATCGTTCTCTACTGCTATTCCCTTTTGCAAGATTACTAGATTTATAGAACTAAACGTACTTGCGTGGTTTCTGTGGTACCCAAAGAAGTTTCTATGTAGATTTTTTCTTCCTCGGATATGGTCTTGTGTTCGCCAGGTCCATTTGCTCCAAAATAAGCCCATGATATGGCCCAACAATATCCAAGGCCTCCGAAGAGGTAGAACGAAGGCGGCCAACCAATCCACGACGCGGAAATAAACCCAGTTATCGGTATCGTGATGATGGTCCCGAAAGCCACACCTAAAAGCAGAACATCCAGTGTTTTTAAAGTATTTTTAACTGTACTGCATTTCTAAGATATCAAGCTATGAGTAGTAAATAAAACCACAATTCGAAAAGTGGTTTGGATCCGGCGCAGTGATCGTCATAGATAACGCGCCTTACCATAGTTGACAAAAGAATGGAATGGTTGAATCTAATGACGAATATATCAGTTTTACGAGTTATTCTATGATCAAAAAGGCTGATATTGGCGACTTACCGGAGAAAACGATGGTCCCAAGCCTGGACCTCTCCGAGGGAGGCGCCCAGCGTCCGAGGAGGTTGTGGATCGAAGGGAAGAAGAACCCTTGTGACAACCCCTGGACCACCCTGCAGGCCATAGCACCACCAGATCCCAGTGTATCTGACATCAGGGGGATGAATATACACGCTGTGGAGTTGATGATCATGGCTCCCACTAGCAGCCATTTTGTACCGTAGGTCCTGCCCAGCTGTCCCGCGAACACCTGCAGGATAATGTAGCCCCAGAAGAAGGACGATAAGACGACGCTTTTGTTGTTCCAGTCGTATACCTAAAAAAAGAAATAGTAACGGTGATATTATCGTTTGAAATGATATATTTGTGGCAGAGTTTTAGTTTTCTCTTTATTTGTTCAGACAAGGAAATATTATAAAACGGGTCCTTACCGGTATGTCAGGATTTTTGCTGGTAGTGTTATCTGTCATGGCGACTATAGCTACAGACAAGTTAACTCTCATGCCATATGCAATCGAAAGAAGTAAGAACAACAGCGTAGTTATGAGGTGTCTGACTCCATATAATGGCCCTGGAGAAATGAAACGATTTTACAGAGTGAAATAGTAGATAAACTTTTGACATTTGAAAAAAATGGCGTCATTTGACATTGTAATTTTTTGGAATTCCTATTATTTATGGTTACTGAAGGCAAACCTAATAGTCCAGACGATATCTGTTTCAAAGGATCCCTATTTGGGTGAATTTTTGGCTTTTTGGCTTTCAAATATCACTAGAAATGAAATTTTTTCTATGCGCATAAAAAAAACGTGGGCTTAACTTTTGGCGGCACAATATGTTAAAAAAATCGAAAAATGTCATATTTTTCTTCCTATTTAATTATGTATCTTTTCAAGAGTTGATTTTAGGCGAAAATGGAAGAGGAAAAAAATGTTTGTAATTAAATTTTTTACAAAACATGACTAGTTACAAATCGAATGAATCATGATTATTATGGTAAAAATCGAAAAAATCGCAAAAATGGGGTTAAAAAACAATACTTTTTAGGGAATTTTTTTGGGGTATTTAAATTGGGTATAGGACCTTTATACTTGGCTCAAGAAAACTTCATGTTATGTAGAATCATCACACCAAATTTCATCAAAATCGGTTCGATAGATTTTGCATAATAATTTTGCAATCCAGATTTTTAAAAAAAATTTGCAAATTTTCAAAATTTTGCACAACAAAAACCAAGGCCCTTAGATACTTGAAAATTTAATCACATATAGAAGGGCTCTCAAGCTTACAAACGCTTTCTGAAAAATTCGAATCCGTCAATTAGGAGAGCTCTGACGCTTGTTTAAACATTGGTCGAATTGTTGTACTATAATTTTGTATTTTGTAATATAATGAGTTAATTTCTTCTTTGCTTATATTTTAAACAGTAAATAATATTTGAATTATACTTTAATCACAAAAGAAATAATGATTAAATTAATAATTAATTAATTAATTACTAATTTTCGACTTATTTTGAAAATAATTGTTGTTAAATCAATTTTAGAATATTTAAATAAATTTGTTATTGATTTTTTATAAACAGTATATAAGTTTATGCACTTACCTTTGATACAATAAAAAAATAAAGTTGATAATTAAAGGAAGTTTAAGGATCAATAATTATCGGACTGTTGAAAGACCAATAAATTACTAAAGATAGGCATTTGAAAATACGCTAATTGTTTTATTTAAATCGCCAGACATCGATTTAAAAAAAATCATCAAAATCGGACCTCTAGAAGCTGAGATATTAAAAATTTTTAAGGGCGTCGCGATTTTGAAATCGCCGATTCAATTTCGAGCAGGCCGAAGCGGCCGCGCTCTCTGCTTCCCCCACCACCACCACCCGTACGATTTTCTTGAATTTCTCGCTTGCATAAATAACTTTAAACCTGGTAAGAACTGGGAATACCAAAGGTATTTTTCGAAAAACTAGCCCGGATGTTCCAGTACATTTACTGTAAATGACGGTTAACTTTGATCGGCTATAACTACGTAACTAATTGACCAACCGATCTGTTTTTTTTTAAAGAAGCGTCTTTCCAATAACTTTTAAAACCAGCTTTAAAAAATTTGATTTGATTGAATATTCACAAAGTTATTCTAATTGTTTATAAGTACAAAATTCGACCAATGTTTAAACAAGCGCCAGAGCTCTCCTAATTGACGGATTCGAATTTTTCAAATAGCATTTGAAAGCTTGAGAGCCCTTTCTATATGTGATTAAATTTTCAAGTATCTAAGGGCCTTGGTTTATGCTGTGCAAAATTTTGAAAATTTGCAAATTTTTATGGAACCGATTTTGATGAAATTTGGTGTGATGATTCTACATAAAATGAACTTCTCTTGAGCCAACTATGAAGGTCCTATATCCAACTTAAAGACCCCAAAAAAATTCCCTAAAAAGTAATGTTTTTATCTCCATTTCTGGCTATTTTTTCGATTTTTACAATAATAATCATGATTCATTCGATTTGTAACTAGTCATATTTTGTAAAATTTAATTACAAACATTTTTGTCTTCCATTTTCGCCTAAAATCAACTCTTGAAAAGATACATAATTAAATAGGAAGAAAAATATGACATGTATCGAATTTTTTTAACATATTGTACCGCCAAAAATTAAGCCCACGTTTTTTTTATGCGCATAGAAAAATTTTCATTCCTAGTGATATTTGAAAGCCAAAAATCTCCGCGAATATACGTTTTACCCAAACCAAAACAGATACCGCCCAGTCTATAGGTTTAATCATATAATTCTAATGAAATTTTATATTTTGTGCATACTTGTTAATTTTTCATCATCCTGAATAACTTACAGTAAAAATACAAATATATTTAAAAAAAACATTGATAATTTCTAGTAATACATTCAATACATTGATCTTTCTGTACTGTCGTGTATTATATGGTAGAACAACAGGCTGATATAGACATTTTTAAACATATAGGTATTTCTTGTCTATAAATCAGTTAACACTAATTCCATAAAAACTATCATTTTCAATAATTTTTTAAGTATTATATCGTCACCTTTTGGCAATACAGGGTGTAACTAAATAAGTGTAAAACATTTAAGGGGGTGATTCCTCATCGAAAAAAAGATAGGATCTTTCATATAAAGAAACTTCATTGGAGCATCCCTTGTTAAGATACAGCCCCTTAAAGGGGGTACATAAAATTTGTTTAACAATTTTTTTCACATGCACTAAACAAGTTACAATATTGAAATTAACCTGACATTTTCTACTACCAAAAAGACACTTAGCCAGTAATTTATTTGGTTTACCCCATGGTTGTAAGGGGTGGAAAACGCAACCCCTAAAATTTATTTCCAACGTAATTTTTTGTCTTATTATTTTTTTACCATTTAAAAATTTATTTCCGATAGCCTGTTTCATTCTAAAAAAAAATGTCTCTTGAATTTTTTGCCCAAATTAAACCAGTTCGCAGCAAAAAATTATTTTACGAACAAGATACATATCGCCATAAAACGAAAATACGAAACTAATTTATCTAGTAGGCCGCCATTAGCGATACTGACAATTAAATTGGAATCAAGCTGTCAGTTTGTAAATTTTTGAAATTGAAGTAATACTAATTGTGTATTGTTCTGTTCTTAATTTGTTACTTTAATAATTCACTTGTTATTAAAATGGCATACACAAATGAGGAAATGGCTGATATGCATTACGTTTACGGTCTGTCGCAGGGGAATGGGTTAGAAGCTTCTACAAGATATGCTGAAATGTATCCTCAACGGCAGCATCCTTCACATAGAATATTTGTCTGACTTCATCAACGATTACGTGAATATGGTTCATTCAACAAAAGAACGCAGGATTGTGGTCGCCATCGAGAAGTAAGAACACCACAGCTTGAGGCAGCAGTACTTAATTTGATAGAAGAACAACCTACTACCAGTACTAGAAAGATTGCTTTCCAGCTAAATGTTGATCATATGACGGTATTTCGAATTTTAAAGGAACATCTCTTATACCCTTACCATCTGCAACGAGTACAGGCACTGTTACCGCGAGACTTTCCGAACCGTCTTGAATTTTGCAATTGGATGCTGGAAATGATTAGAAGAAATCGTGACTTTCTGAAGACGATCGAATTCACAGACGAATGTAGTTTTTCTCGGGACAAGATTATTAATTTTCATAATTACCACATATGGGCTGATGAAAACCCTCACGCTATTGTCGAAACTAACCATCAAGAACAGTTTTCTCTTAACGTGTGGGTCGGAGTTATTGGGGATTATTTAATTGGGCCTCATTTTCTACCTCCTCGATTAAATGGTGAGGCATACGTTCAATTTTTAAGAGAAGTGCATCCCGTACTGCTGGAGGAAGTTCCTTTGGGCGTCAGAAGGGATATGGTTTTTATGCATGATGGGGCTCCCGCCCATTTTAGTCAAGTAGCACGTCAGCATTTAACTGAAACATATGCAAATCAGTGGATAGGTCGAGGAGGACCACAGAATTGGCCCGCTCGATCCCCGGATCTCAATCCTCTGGATTTGTCTACTTGGGGCCATTTGCAGCATTTGGTTTATCGTACTCCTGTTCGCGATGTAGAGGACTTAAGAAACCGCATTATCGATGCGTGCAGGGTAATTAGAGAGACTCCAGGAATATTTGAGCGAATACGTGGCTCAATGCGCCGACGTCTAGACGCATGCGTAATGTCTGAAGGTAGACATATTGAACATTTACTATGATTTCTACATGTTGTATGTTTTGTTATTATTAAATTAGTTTTGATTATTCCCCTTTAATCATTTAATGCAGGTAGTAACTACAAAATAACAGTAAATCCAGTCCGCATTTATGACGATGTATCTCTGTAGTTGTTCGTAAAATAATTTTTTACTGCGAACTGGTTTAATTTGGGCAAAAAATTCAAGAGACATTTTTTTTTAGAATGAAACAGGCTATCGGAAATAATTTTTTAAATGGTAAAAAAATAATAAGACAAAAAATTACGTTGGAAATAAATTTTAGGGGTTGCGTTTTCCACCCCTTACTACCATGGGGTAAACCAAATAAATTACTGGCTAAGTGTCTTTTTGGTAGTAGAAAATGTCAGGTTAATTTCAATATTGTAACTTGTTTAGTGCTTGTGAAAAAAATTGTTAAACAAATTTTATGTACCCCCTTTAAGGGGCTGTATCTTAACAAGGGATGCTCCAATGAAGTTTCTTTATATGAAAGATCCTATCTTTTTTGTCGATGAGGAATCACCCCCTTAAATGTTTTACACTTATTTAGTTACACCCTGTATAAATAATAAGGCAATGTTTAAAATTGCGATCAATATGAAATACGTCAGTTTTTCTACGAAAAATGATGCAATGCATGTTTAGAGTACATACATTTATAAAAACTCAAGTATTTTATGCATTTCTGCAAGGAATTTCAATTAATAATTAGATAATTTCAGGGCTTGTCGTAAACACAAAAAAAATCTGCAATTGTTACGGATTAAGTGGTTGACAGCGACAGCCCGAGCGTGTTTCGTAGATAACTTTAGATAAAAAAATGCGATACATCAGGTGAAACGAATTCTGCCGTCCCAAGTAGAAAACATGAGTGTTCAATTGCGAAATCATCGATATTTTTAATTGATTATATTTTATATTCTAAACACTTGAATGAATTGAAACTTCAATGGGCGATACGTAACTTAGATATTGCAAATATGTCCGTTCAAGTGACAAGAAAAGGTTGGATCGAAAAAATGTTTTCGTTCTTAAATTAAACCAAACTTTATATAATAGCAATAAAATTAAGCCGCGATTGATACGCACGAAATGAAAATGTGAAGTTTGGCAACCGCACGTACTTGACCATTGTTGGAATATGCAAGTTGACTTTATGAGTGATATGACATGTCAACAGGGTGGTAGACGGGCAAAAAACAAACGGTCAACGTTAATTCGCGATTATGCATGCTATAGCTCGCGCTTACGTGTAGCATACGCGGTTATTTAAGATTCCTCTAGCCAGTCAAGCAACAGAGTATGAAAATTTTCAAAAGGTAGAAGAAAAATCAGTTGTTACTAGGTAGGGAATTTGAGAAAACCGACAATTATGCATACAAATGTTATATTACTTAAATGATATGATTTTCTTGAATTACTTTCTGTACTCACCCTTCTCCAATTCTTCTGCGGCTTTCTCTGCCGTTTCCTTACTTGAAATTTCCACCATTTCAGACTCTTATATTCAAAATACCGAATTATTCAAAAATGTATCCAAAAAATATTCCACAACGCGTAATTGGAGTGTTTGGTGTGTGTGTGGTGTATCTCCTCAGTATAAATCTGTTACCATTTTGACTAGTCGTATTCCACTGAATGACCAAACAAAAAGTGAGGATCCTATTTGCCAATTTACGGTAAAAATGTTTCGATGTCGCTCTTAAGTACTTAGATTTTTATCTTTGTATTTACGTTTCAACGGCAAGCTTTCCGTTTGAGTACCTTTAATCCTTCAAACTCACGTGTTGGAGTGAAATTATGTCCCTGAGCCTGCCAAATTGACTTGGTCTTGAATATAGGTTCCCTTGAAGCTTGGTAATTGCTTGAATTGTCACTGTAGCTTCCTGGTGATGGCGTTGGCAGCTGCAATATATAAAAAAGTGACATGAATACAGGTGTTAGGTTATGATACCATTAGTTGTTGATCTTTTTTAGTAGCTTGTTGTTAAGTTTGGCAAGATTCATCGACATAAAGTATGAAAATAGTTCAATAGATCGATATCGAGATCAATTTGTAAAATAAAGAATATTATCTTAATTAATATCATCTGTTTGCGTTTGTAATAACGATTCAAAGAGATCAGATTACAGACACTTGAAATACTTTATTGATACGTGGCATATATTATTGAAGTGCAGTATCTAGAGATACGCTTTTTTAAAACTTTGCGCTTTTAATTCGCGACATTTGTATTGCACATGCAAAATATTAGATAGGTACATGTACTTTATCAGTGGTTATCTCCAACAAAAAAAAAAGCTTCAGTGCATGTCCTTAGCAGTAATTGCAATAAGCACCTCGTTATAGGTGCCAACATGATTTTACCGAATTCCTTTTTCTTAACAAGAGTATTGCTCTAATCGTCGGAAATTTTTGCCTTGCTTTTCTGTAAAAACTTTTGACGCCTCTTCAACCATCTGCAGTTAAAAATTAATAACAGCCCCACGGAAAAATAGTTCAATGTGTCCGGATTCGGAGACGTGGTTACGTTATTTTTTTATTTTCAAGATCATTTGAAAGTCAAATCTTCCTTTCCAACTTTTCAAGTTGTTATCTCGTGAGGCTAGCGATATACCAGGAAAATAACCTCTGTAAGAGTTCTTTGGATCATCGGGAATCATTACTTGGTGACCTTGGATTTGACTCTGAAGGTCATCACTAGATCTTCAAGATCAACCTTTATTTTTTTATGGTAATACAATTTTTGTGTCCGGATTCTGCACGAACGAGAAATTTTGCGTTGGAGACGTGGTTATTTTTTCACTTTCAAGATCATTTGAAAGTCAAATCCTCCGTTCGAACTCACCAGGTTCTTATCTCGTGAGGCTAGCGATATATCAGGAAAATAACCTTTGTAAGAGGTAATCGGGAACCATTACTTGATGACCTTGAATTTGACTTCGAAGGTCATTTGAGAAAAATCATTAGGATTGGATCTAAGACAGTGAGATGATGATTTTTATATCCATGAGATATGGTTTTCATGATTTTGAGGGCGTAAAAATGGCTTCTTATTTGAGACTTTGGAACTACATACTCTCAGTTTGTAGCTTTAGCATAACTGAATTTTTAAAATCCTGCTACGTCAGAATATGCTGAAGATAGTGGCACTGGCCCGAAAGGTGATGTGTAGCATGATCTATCTTACAGGATTCAAAGGTATTATCTCCAAAAAAAACCTCTCAAGGTCATTTCCAAGGTCACCAGAACCATCTGGACCACCAGGTCTCCAATGACTCAAACAAATTTTATAAAAGTCATTTTCCCAATTCGCTATCCTTACGAGATACCAACCTGAGATGTTCTAGAGGAAGATTTAACCTTCAAATGATCTTGAAAATAACAAAATAACTTAACCGCGTCTCCGAACGTTTCTCAGAATCCGGATACATAAATATTATTACCATCAAAAAATAAAAGAATTGCCCCTCAAATAACCTTGAATATGACCTTGTATTTGAACATACAATTTGTCGGTCTTTCAGAATCCGGGGTCAACAATTGTATTATCTTCAAAAAACAAGAGTTGACTTTCAAATAACTTTGAATATGAAGGTATGATGGTCTAGCCTATCACATTGATTTTTTTCCCTGTAGGGCCGTGTAATCAATGAAATATTCGCCCTGTATTTCTCTCAGCTATAGGAAATTTTAAGTGCTACTAATTTAACGATGCAATATCGCAAACAAGTTTCCTGCGTTTCAATAGTACATAATTCTTTCAACCACAGATATTATTGCAACATTACCAGTTGTACAAAAACAAAGAAATATCGCATATAGTACAATCGAGATCCAAACAAAATCCTTAAAAGGTACATGATTTATGATTGAATAACGGACTTATTGATTATATATTTGTGTTATCTTTTGGGGAAATAACTGATAGCGTGTTGTTTATAAATTTATGCACATGTTCTAATTCAACCTATACAACGTAGGTATGAATTAATTATTATGTTTATTGAGTACAAGCTATGCTGTCTTATAAACCTATGGTCCTCATCTAGGAAGCCGTGCTATTGCAAGAATTTTTCATAATCCAAGAGCAATATTGTTAATTATTAGTATCCGTGTAATAAATACAGTTCCTTGATCGTTACGTCAAAGAAATTTACCAGCAGTTCAACAGGTCCTGCAGTGGTATGACAACAGACCCTTTAGATTGTTATTCTAAACATTATCATGTAAACGCAGACAATTCTTGTAGTTGACAAAGTACTATGTAGTTTGTGCAGCTTATGAACAAGCTTTAAAATATTGGTTTAAGTCTCTGATTGCCACAGATGTCGAAATGATACCAAATCGTTCATACAACAAGTGGAATAAATTACTTTAACATAAAATTTCTTGGTGTCTTTTGATGCAATCTAAAAATTTTCTGTGCTGTACAATTTGACTGTTGTATTTGTGTGAATACGAATTTAATAACGGCGTTACCTTTTACACTAAATTGCTGTGAAAAAAAATAATACTGCGATGTAGAACAATTGTAACGATAAAGTCCTTCTTTCCTCCTAACGACACTTACATCACATCACCGGTACACTTGAAACTGGTTGTTAAGCCGGCAAATGAATAACTTTTATCAGTTCCAATAATCTGGAATGGGAAAAATCTCGGGAAAATAACAATAACCTCTGCCGTGTGTATATCAACGTAACATACAATTACAATGGTACTCCACACACGCGCTTAGTAATAATCCAACCGCGAAAAGTTGTTGGTGTGCTTGTCGAAATAGTCATATATCGTAGATAGCGGCGGACCAAAGAATGCACCTCGTATGGAATATTGTTTACATACACATTCCGAAATATAAATAAAGTCTCGCGTGAAGACTAGGAAATACGGCGTGGCCAAAAAAAGCTTCACGTGACTGGAATATAACTAAAGATTTTCTAATTGCGATTCGAAACTGTGTTAATTTTGTACGACGACTACGTGATTGCAAATTTTTATAGAACAATTGAAAAACAACTACTTCACCTGCATTATCAACCAGTTTCGAGCAGTACATTGACGTGAAATATGATGAGGGGATTGAGTCAAATCACGTCAAGTGGATCGATCCCTCATTTTCCACTTGATCGTGGAGTTTGAATTTATACAGGGTGTTGCAATTAAAACCTCACACCTGGAAAATATCGGAATTTAAAAAAACCTGAGACACGTCGATTTTTTTTTCATGAGGACACAAGTCAGTTCGGTCGTGTTGCATAAATTCGACTTTAAGTGTCCCCACAAAAAAAAGTCTAAGGGTTTTAGATCTGTGGATCTGCGAGGCCACTCAATTGAACCTCTACGTCCTATCCAGTGATTTGGAGAGTTCTGATCAAGAAAATCACGCACAGCTACGGCATAATGTGGTCGAGCACCATCCTGCAGAAACCACACATCCTCTTCTGGCAAAACCTTGTCATTTTCCAATATTTCCACAATCATCTGGTAGATATTCGTTTCCAGTAGATACATGTTTCCATCCAGGTTTCCGGGTAGGAAGAAAGATCGTCCTATGAGGTGGTCTTCCAGTATGCCCGCCCAAACATTCAATTTTCTCGGAGTATTAGTTTCATGAAATGTGCATGGATTTTCATCACTCCGGTAGCATAAATTATGGCAGTTGACTCGACCATCCAGGTGGAACGTACATTCATCGGAAAAACAGATCGAATACAAAAAATTTGGATTCCTTCGAGCACGATTACTCGTTTTATTACACTGCACGTGGCGATCAGGATCGTCTTCATTAATTTCTTGTACCAAATTAATTTTGTATGGGTGAACTAGGTAGGTACAGAAGTTCCTGAAGTACTTTTGTCAGGATGACGGTCATTAAAAATCTGTGCTACCTACCAGTCATTATTCTCGTAGAACAAACTAATTATCTCCAGTTTTTGGTATAAACCATTTTTAGGAATAGGAATTCAATTGACTTTGTGATGATTTTACGGGATATTGTCTCGACAAGACGAGACGAGACAATATTGTTTCGTTTAAAAGCAAAACGGGTAAAAAAGTTGAACTGATCTCTATCAGAGTATGAAGTTTTTGAATTGACAAATAAAAAATTAACTGTGTAAAAATCATTAGAGATATTTTAAAGAAATTTTCAGGACTTATTGGGTAATACATATTTAAATTTTAATAAAAAATAAAAAAATTAAGTTAACTTATTTTTTATCATATTTTTAATTAACTTTAAAATAAACAAATGAACATTTTAATGACTTCTCATTGAGATAATAAAGTTTTTTTTATGAAAATGGCTCAACTCTCAACGATGTCTCAGACGTTCATACATAATATGTTTAACCTTGGTTTTTTTAAATCATTATTCATTCATTCAGTGTTTTATTTTACAGGCAACTGCTAGTAATTATTTATTACCTAATGTATGGAATAAAGTGAAATACTTAAGCTAATGCTAATGACGTCACTCAGAATTTTACCAGTTGTTAGCTAGGTATTTGTCAGCAAAGAGCATACAAAGTGTCCCAATATTTCGTATAATCGCTAATGGGCAACAAAGTTGACAAACAAAAACTTTTTTTTTAAAATAACTCTGAGGCGCCTTGTAAGACTATTGAAATTTGATACACTAGTACTTCGACATAGATGTCACCTTAACATATTGAACGAAATAATTACATTAACGGAACTGTGAAAATTATCCCCATCACTTGAATTAATCTGCTCATGATTTTACCAGGTTTCAAGCTATATTTTTTTTCTCTTAAAGATGAAGAGTTTGTTAAAAATGTTTCCCTGTTGTAAAATTTTTGTATTTTCAATAGTTTTGGATTCATTAATTTTTTTATTAGATCATTCATTTTCGATTCAAACTTGAAATAATTACGTCATTTCAAAAGTAATTAAATTCCTGACAAAAACAAAATAACTGGTAGGTAGTTCCATGTTTTATACGCGAAATATTTAGACGCCATATGTAAATCACTTCATTTGATGAGAATTTTAGGAAATATCAATATGAATTAGAAATATTTTGCGAATAGGAGCTGTAAGATCAAATTAAAAAGATATACGGACTAAGTCGTGTTATAAATATATTTATTAGTACAATCCAACATGGACAGATACTTGATCACAATAGAAATAGCGTCTTATGTAGCTTATCCATAGAAAGGGCCTACTTAGTTGTCTTTTGAATCCAGGATGGAATCCTTGTCTTTTTCTTCGTGTCCGTTCCATGGTTGAACGTCGGCTGACGCCCCATACACGTAAAAAAGGCCTGTCGCTAAATATACGCCAGCTGCTATATAAAACACGATCGACCACAGCTCTTTGTCAGTCTAAAAATAATAAAAATAAAAATTGATGGACAGTTCCAAAAAAATATGTTAATTATTTAGTGCTTAAAATTGTATTCAAATTGTTTCTTTCGTACGTGTTATTTGAAACCAATTTCCAGTTATGTAACATAAAAGGAAAAAAGCGATTACGGGCAACATTGACACGTGCTTAATAGGTTATTCACCAAAACAAGTCGTTAGACATGTTTTATAACATAACATACTATACAGGGTATCCCAACGAAAATTTGACCCCCTCTATAATTGGAAAACCGAATAATATTTCAAAATTCGCCGAGACCCGTCGATTTTTGTTCTTGGGGGGAGCTTTTTTGACAGTCAAGCCAACTCGATATGTTCATCCCCCTAATGCCTAGCAACCCCAACTTAAAAATTTCAAATGCAACTACCCCACTTGTGGCACATCATTTTAAAGCCCTTTTCATTGCGAATACAGTGACGTACCGTTTTTAGAAATCGGTTGAGATTTGACAGAATTATTGGTTACAAACGAAAAGATGACAAACCAACTTACGCGTAGTAATTTCTACACAAATGCCCACCACTAATAAGTTTTTCATCTACTACACATGACCGCATTACCTAATTGTTATTGATGTGTCTATCAGTTTACAAAAAAGTCAGAAATGAAATAAAAAAGCTGAAGCAAATAAAACTAGATACTAAAATAGTTATTAGTAGAAGATACTTAAGTTTATAGGAATTCAGACCTTTTCAAAATAACAAAAAATCAGTACTACAAAAAAAGTCGGTGTTTTTTGCTTGTGACCAAGAAATCGTTAGTTTCAGCCGTTATTGAAAGTATTAACGTGTGTTCGAAATGGTTTATTCTATCGCGGAAAGAGTAGAAATTGTTGCAATTTATTATCGAAATCACGATTGCGCTAAAGCTACAGCACGAATTTTTAATGCCAATCATCCTGAAAAAAATGTAAACCACCAGTACGTTAAACACCTGATTGACAAATTTGTTGCAACAGGTTCGCTTTTAAACAAGAAACGTGAAGTAATTGGGCCAGTTCGAAATGAAGCAGTTGAAGTGGCAGTTTTGGGTCATGTACAGATGGATAATAAGCAATCGATTACAACTGTGTCTCAAGCTTCTGGCGTATCCCGTTCCAGTGTTCATCGAATTTTGAAAAAACACAAGTTTCATCCATTTAAGATGACGCTGGTTCAAGAGTTACATGAAGATGACTTTGATCGCCGTAACCAATTTTGCGAATACTTTAGTGAACAACTTCTACTGAATCCAAATCTTCTCTACAATACATGTTTCTCCGACGAATGCACATTTATGTTGAATGGCGAAGTGAATAGACACAATTGTCGTTATTGGAGTGATACTAATCCGCATTTAATCAGGGAATTTCATACTCAGACACCTCAAAAATTGAATGTTTGGGCAGGCATTTTGGGCGACCATCTTGTTGGACCATTTTTCATCCAAGGTAATCTCGATGGAAACACCTATCTAGAATTATTGGAAAGTACAATTGATCCTAGGATAACAGAGATTTTAGAAAGTGACGACAATTTACTAGAAAATGAAATAACCTTCCAACAAGATGGTGCGCCCCCGCACTATGCTGCTGCTGTGCGACAATTTTTGGATGACCATTTCCCGGGGCATTGGATTGGCAGAAGAGGTCCCGTCGAATGGCCACCAAGATCTCCGGATCTGTCCCCTTTGGACTTTTTTCTGTGGGGTCATTTAAAATCACGAGTGTACGCCACTCAGCCGGAAACATTGCAAGTGCTACGTCAGAGAATTGTAGAAGAATGCCGATTAATAACTGCGGATGTCTTTAATAATGTTCGAACAGAATTTGAAAACAGACTGTATTATTGTTTGGAAGTTAACGGGGGTCATTTTGAGCAATTCATCAAATAAATCTGATTTATTATTTGCTTCAGCTTTTTTATTTCATTTCTGACTTTTTTGTAAACTGATAGACACATCAATAACAATTAGGTAATGCGGTCATGTGTAGTAGATGAAAAACTTATTAGTGGTGGGCATTTGTGTAGAAATTACTACGCGTAAGTTGGTTTGTCATCTTTTCGTTTGTAACCAATAATTCTGTCAAATCTCAACCGATTTCTAAAAACGGTACGTCACTGTATTCGCAATGAAAAGGGCTTTAAAATGATGTGCCACAAGTGGGGTAGTTGCATTTGAAATTTTTAAGTTGGGGTTGCTAGGCATTAGGGGGATGAACATATCGAGTTGGCTTGACTGTCAAAAAAGCTCCCCCCAAGAACAAAAATCGACGGGTCTCGGCGAATTTTGAAATATTATTCGGTTTTCCAATTATAGGGGGGGTCAAATTTTCGTTGGGATACCCTATATTAATGTTATGTACCTACAAGTGATCACGAAAAGAATTTTAATTAAAATTAGGTCATATTGAATTAATACAATAACGGGTATAACTTTGAACGGGAGTCATATTTATAGGGAGATTATCTTTGACCTTTAGAAATACATATCGACCATATCGTAAGTTTGTTTTTTCAAATCCCGTCATAAATTTTTTTTATAATATCAGTCATATACAAATTGTATATACAAATGTATAAACAACGCGCAACCTAAATCTGTAAATATTAGATAATAATTATTAGACCACAATTCGATGACACTTTCCACAACATATCTGAGCAATAATCGACGTTCTACCAATCCGGGTGGACGTAAAGCAACATATTTTCGATAGAAACTTAAATAATTGTCTCCCAGCACAGTAAAAGAACGTGGTCTCTTGGTTTTGGTATCGGGAATTTTTATAATTAAGGCGAATTTCACATCTTCAACATTATCAATTGTTAAATTAACTAATTCATCAAAACCGCATGCGCTTGTATGGGTAATATTTATTTTTCATTAAAAACCTTGCTAATTGTTGTATTTGGAATGTTTATTTATCTATTACATACTCTTGTTGGCGATGTTGAATTGTTGTTGAATTATTTTACTGTCTATTGCACATTTTATTGTCTATTGCGTAGTTATTAGCATGTGGCTTTTCAAAACTATATCACATTTTTCGTCATTGAAATAAAATAAAACCATTTTGACGATCTATTTGTTCAGCTTAAAATTTAATATGGTGTCCATAAGAAAAAAGAAAGTTGACGATGGTTTCTCGCAACCGAAACGTCTCAATGAAAATCCAGATATACAGTGAATTCCTCGCAAAAACTTACTGTAAAAAAGTGTTTTTAGATTTTAAAAATACCTCTAAATAAAAGAGTTACAGACGATTTTTGAAACCGCCACATTTACTTTATTCAAAATAACTCAAAACCTGAAGATCTAGGGCTGGTCTGCAAGCGCCATTAAGTTAGCAACAAAACTGCCTAAAACTTTCCCCATCTAACTGGTTTCCTATTTCTTATAATTTCCAAGATACCAATACATACATCACCAAAATGGTCCACACTCTACAATAACAATAAGCAACCTGTTTATTGTTTCCCGTTGCTGTTTCCTGAGCTGCCCAGTATGGCAGCATAGACAGAAAAGTGTAGATTAAAAGACGAATTATGTATTTGTTTAAAAAAATAATTAATTCATGTTAGTATTCTAGGAAATACGTACCTGCCTACCTATCTGTAAAAAGACTGACCCCACACCCCCACTTCAAGTTACATTCGTTATAAATTCTTACCTCTTGGTATCCTGTCACGTTGATGATAAGATCGACTGACAAAGGTGCCAGCAACGAGCAAATATTGGATATCATGGTAGTAATGCCCATCAGAGCTCCTACGTGGTTAGGAGCCAGGTCTATGTGGTTTATGTAATAGCCACAAAATATACCAGCCGTCGAACCAACCGACAGCGTCAGCAAGAATATAGTTAGAGCCCTCTCTGAGTTTCCCACGAAGTTCACTGCAATCAGAGTTATAACGGGCACAAACATCGCTGAAAAAAAAAATAACTGTAATAATAGTACATGACATACTAAAATATATCTTACCTATCGAAGTGAAGATCTTCCTGCTTGTAGTTCGATTAATGTAATCCTTTTCCGTCAAATAGTCAGCTATTGGGCCCATAGCAAAGCTGAGTATCCAAAAGGCGAAATATGGAAGGGCAGAAAGTGCGCTGTTCTACAAAGAATAGTTTTTGGGGTGAGACTTTTATTAAAACAACTAAAAACCACTTACAGCTGCAATATTAAAATTGAAAATCTTCTCCAAATACGACGGGATTTCAGTCAGTAGCGTCCAGTAACCCCAGTTTTCGCCGCAATGACAAATCAGGATAGCCCAAAACGGTAACGAGGTTGCAATCGATTTCCAAGGAGTTGGTACTTTCTAAAAGTGATAGTATGAGCGACGACTAGTGGAGAAGTGTTGAGCATACCTTTTCTTTCTCTGCGTGGGACCCATATTCGATGTACTCTCGTTCCGCGATGGTTATTTTGCTGTATGTGGAAGGAGATTCTGAACCCAGAAACGCCCATAGGATAGACCATGCTACGCCAACGGCACCGAACAAGTAGAAAGACGCAGGCCAGCCGACGTATTCGTATTTGGACATTAGGCCAGTTATAGGCATCGATATCAAAGTTCCAAGAGGAACACCTGCAAAATTAGATAGTTTCGGACTGAAGAGAGAAATAGTTGTTCTGCGAGTACCTGCATATGTGAACCCTCCAACTTTGGACCTGTCAGCTGTAGCCGTCCATTTACTCAATAAAGTATGAACGCAGGGGAAGAGGAAGCTTTGGGCCAACCCCTGGACAACCCTACAAACAATAACGCCTTCATAGCCGAAGACAGAAGCGAAGTAAGGAATTAGAAGGCCCGCCAATGATCCTAAAAATGTGGTAAAGCATAAGAACCATTTGGCCCCGAAGTGTTTGGCAAGTTGGCCCGCCACCACCTGGGGAGCGATGTACCCCCAGAAGAAAGACGAAAGCATTATGTTCTTCTTGCTGGACCATTCTGGATACGTCTGAAAATGTGCCACATTTAAATTCCAGCAAAATGTCAAAATGGGCGACCTAAAATAAACGAATAACGACAGCTGTCACAATTGACGTCTTGACAGTAACCTACTGGGACGCCCTCTAGATAATCGCTGCTGGTTATGGCAATAACTCCGACGTTAAAAGCAACCCGTACTGCGTACGCCACTGCTGTGGCTGTGAACAGTAAGAGGTACTGGATGTGGCGAACTCCGAAGAAGTTTTCTGAAAATAAAATAATATTACTCGGATTAAATAACATGCGGAAACACATTGTTTTCTCAAACTCCATCGTAAAAGCTGTTTTTTTTTAATCTTTTAAGGAGATATATCGGGGTCCGAGGGAAGTGAGGATCGCAGGGGGTCCTATGTTTTTCTTATGGGACTAAAACCCGCTACCAACTTGAAAAAATTCAATTCTAGTGAAATTATTTGCGATAAACATTATCTATAAAGCAAATAAATCTACTCATAGCACATAGCATACATATTGACTAATTAACAACATAAAAATATCATATTTAAGTAGTTTTAAATTATATTTAATGAACGCATAAACACTATGTTAATGTGGCAACAGCGCTAATAATCGAGTGCAGTTGGACACACTGCGAACCTACAAACTTCGGACATCGGAGATATTGCGCGTCAAATTCGGGTAAAGATGCGTACGCGTTCAAAAATATATCGTATTATCCTCGCGAAGATTTGTATTCTTTATTTAAAATCCATAAATCATATGAACTGGCAAAACAACGAGAATTATGTTCATTTAGTTCTAAAGAAACGAAATGACACTCGCGCCCATCTCTCGTCCAAGTCAAAGAAAATGTTGGATGCAATTTTGAAGGTTCTGTGATAGAAATTACATTATTACTCATTATTCGTGTTTTTAATCTCTATTTTAGTAATGTTACAAAAGTTTTGCAACTTTCACTAATTTTTCAGATATAATGTTTGCTAAGAAATATTTATGTTCCTTTGTTATTCCGTACAAATGCTTTTATCTCAAGTATTACTAATTATACAGGGTGATTCAGAACTTATCCAAAAAAAAAATCTTGATGTACAGGGGATCCTTACAAATACAATATTGTAAAGAAAAAATCAAAAAGGGCAGTTCGAAAATGATTTAAAAATACACTTCTGTACGGCACTGGAAACTGGTCCACTGTAAAATATCGGCAAATTCAACTGTTTTTGCCTTTATTAATTAATAAAATTAATTTGTTTTTAAATAATAAAATCACAAACTACCCATTTTTGACACTAACTACTAAAAACCTGTTGTAAACACTACAGATAGCAAGTAAATATCGCAACGACGATTGCAAAATCCGAATTCAGTATTCGGAGTCGCTGAGGCCACGTGGCGAATGACGCTAGAGACTACAGTTGTCCAGCTATGTAGTGGTTGAATGTACTATAACTTCAATATTTTTTTTTCTCGGAAACTATAAGGATTTTACAAACAAATTTTTTACGATATTGATTCCATTTCTCATGCTGCATCTATTCCCAATTTTGTTTGGATAAGTTGTGAATCACCCTGTATAGATATTTTTCTTATCGTTGAAATTTAATCGAAATGGCATTAGTGCCATTTGAAAGCTGACATTTTTTCACGAATTAAAAAAAATGTCCTACGATCGACAGGAACCAAGATTTTTTTTTCTCCTACAAATCTAATTTGATTTGACTATAAAGTCACACAGTGTACATACTTACTGGGTTTCTTCGCACCGGAATCGCTGATATTATCCGCTTCCATGTCTCCCACTGAACAACCACGTTAAAATATTATCGTTCTCTAACTGAAAAAGTATGTTAGTAATTCCCTAGCTATTATATCCAGATAAATCCGAATTATTAAAAAAAATCTATTAATCCCCGCTAAAGAAACGTATAGCACCATCGAGGATAATAATAAACCTTTACCGTGCAGTAAACCACACGTAAAACCTGATAATTTAATCTGATCGTAAAAAATCGTAATTTATTTAAATCCCCAGGCAGATAATGCGATGTAAAATAGTAGCGAGATAAAATGCAGAACGGCAGTTTTCAATTTTGCTGCGACAAAAAGCTATACACGCTGTAAAAACGTTTATGGGATTTCGAGGTAATATTAAAGTAGTAAAATATTAATGTCTGTAAACAGCTTTACTCTTTATCTTTTTAACTGTATGTACGACGCATTACAGATAACTACAATAGGCAGCCTTGCACAACAACTGAACAAAACAATCTCCGTTGCCACAGAAGCAGCTACTATGTTTACAATAGTTTTTTGCGCCGTGTTCCATGTGGTGTGTTCTTAAGGCGGTTTTCCACTAAACGGACAAAACATAAACAAAACACAAACTTGTGTCGAATAAAATAGAACTGTAACTTTTCGCAAACTTTTTGAAGACTGGCGTGTTTTGCGGCAGTTGGAGTTTTGTTTTTCGGGTCCCGCTCGAAAGCGGTCACATCAAAAGGTTTCGACGTGTTTTGAAACTCAGGTCTGTTTACTGGAAACGGTCGTGTTGTGTTTTCTATTTAAGTGATCCAACCCAATATCTATGTTGGCGTTTTCTTCTTCCCAAAAACAATATTTTAATCATTAATGAATTATGTATAGCTATTAAAAAATATATATGTGTATGGTTAAAGTGTTTACTTGGCTAGGATACAAACTAAGTAAACACTTTTTTAAATTGTGATGGCGTGATACGGACTGTGGAGCCTACCAAGATAAAATATTTTCAAGGTCATCGTATTTCCGGTTATACCAGAAGTTGATACTAACTTTCTTATTTTGATTGGACCCCCCTGTATATTATTGCAAAAAATTAGGGGTTTCCATTTAAAAATTTCGAGTTTTCCACATATTCTGAACTTCATATTCGATAATTTTTTTTTTGACCACCCTGTATAAAAACTGGAAAATTTTCATGTCAAATTCGATAAAGTAGGTCTTCCTCTACAAAATGTCCAATTTGCACAAAAAAGTAAACCAGGAAAACTAAATTTTGCTGACAGTCTGCATCTGTCAATTTTTGTTTAAAAATCGAAATATCTCGGAAACGGTCAATCCTCAGTATGGAGTGTGCTATATGTTTTCAACTTAAAAATGGATGATGTTTCCAAAAATGCAATAATATACGGGGGGTTCCATTTAAAATTAAAAAGTTAGTATCGACTTTCGGTGTAACCGGAAGTACGATGACCTTGAAAATATTTTAACTTGGTGGGCCCCACGGTCCGTATCACACCATCACAATTTCAAAAAAATCCTTAGAGCGGTTTTCCAGATATCCATCGATGGAATTCGAGGTGGGACACTCTGTAGACACACTTTTTTTCCAAGGAGTTCAGTATAAACCAGCCATAACTAAAATAAAAAAATCTTCTCTAAACATGTTGGCTGGTTATTGGAAAATGTGTTCTGACTTCCTCGCGACAACCAGTGGAAAAGGACTCAAAACAAAAACAAAACTCGAACAAAATGTAGCCCGCTTGATGGAAACAAGAGTTTTGGGTTGTTTCAGTTTTGTTTAGCTAGGAATCTTCGGCCTGCCATTGTTGTTCTCGGGCTAGGTTTGTGGACATACGATTAAAAGGTAGATTAGAATTATTTATATTATCCCCGTCTCTCAAAGCCTTTAAACAAATACCGATGTACCAAGGACAAGAATATTAATAAAAAGTAAATGTTAGTATATCTTTATAACACAAAAATTTATTGCACTTGATAAGGTTAAAATATATTACTTTAGACCTGTCGTAAAACAAAAATAAAACATGTATTACTTTTATAGTTTTTATTATATAATATATAAACGATTTTAATCTAAATCAAACAATTTTTCTTACACTTTCTATTCTCGTTGACATAATCCGGGTTATTCCAACGCTGAATCTTTCCAGAACCGGCAAAAATGAAGACTATTCCCACAAAAACATATATCCCAGCAGACGTACAGAACACGATGGTCCACAACTCGTCGTTTGTCTACAAATAGCAACATATACATTCAGAATCCATGGAATTGTAACTAATTACCTCTTTATATCCAGTGGCGTTCGTAACGGCGTCCACGAACAGCGGTGCCAGTAAAGAGAAAACGTTTGAAGCCGTATTTGCCATTCCCATAAGAGTTCCCGCGTAGTTAGGAGATAGATCTATATGGTTGACGGTGTACCCGCAGAATATCCCGCCTGTACACCCAACGGCGATCACAAGGAGGGTGATGGAAAGCGCCCTTTCGGTATTGCTTACGAACGACAGCGAAACCAAGGCTACTGCTGGGACGAACATTGCTGAAAATATAGAAGGTTTCATTCATAACCGTAATAGGCAGACAAAAGCCTATTAGAATTCGTTTACTTTGCGATAAAAGTTACAGTTATTGTTTGACAAGGACTAGTAGTTATTTGGAGCAACTTTATGATCCGTAATAAAAGAAATTATGATGCCTAGACACGCTTGTTTCTGATGATGACACTGTCAGTGGGAGAGAACTGTTCCTTTTCAAATATCTACAGTGTTTTTTAATACGGCTGCACAAAATAAACAAAAAAAACTTTTTCCAGTTATGGCGATTTATATTAACAGTAAAAATGCAATAAAAATGGTCCTTACCAATCGAATTACAAATTTTTCTGCTCGTTGTGACCGAGGTGATCCCCTTCATTATGAAGAAGTCAGCTGAAAGACCCATCAGGATGCTGAGCAACCAAAAAGCTAGGTAGGGCAACGCAGATAGCAGACTGTTCTGTGTGAAAAAAAAAATAATAATATAATTAATTTAGGAATAATATGGAAAATGAAACGTTAAAAGCGCACATGTAAACCACCAGTTTTACTTCTTTGTCAGCACTTTGATCTAGTTCAGTCGTTTTTAAGTGTCCTTGGATGCAGTAGCGCTAGTCAGGGTCGTTGCTTGTACACAAGAACGTATTAAAATACATAATAGTGATAAACATACAGGGTGTAAGAAGTATAACTGCCATAACTTCAGCCTGAAATAGAGTAATCATAAATGAACAAAAAAGTTGTGTATTGCAGGTTCGTAAGATTAACAGTTTTCAAAATACAGCAAATATTAATATTGGGGAGTTTCATCACAACGTGACAACAGCACGTGTGCACGCAGCAGACCTGTCCTACGGAAAAAATGTAAACAACTATTATTGCGAAACATTTAGTATTTGTTTTCCAATTTTTAAATAACTAAAATAAAATATATCGATTTTGTAGTACGAAGATAGTGTTGTGCTTAAATTTGGCCAAAATGTCGACATTTTTAAGCAAGCATTTCCTGCAAATGTTGGGCTTCCATAAGTACACTGGCGCTGAATGTTGCATTTATTTGCCCATTGTAGACTTACTTCTTCATTCACTTTTTTCATATGTCCGAATAACGTGTATTCAATTTTTTCCATGTTAAAGATTTGGAAAAAACAGAGGATTAGCTTATTACAGCGAACAGGCTACAGAATCCGCACATTCAGATTTTTCAAAAATATGGGATCGATACAAAGCATCACCCTGAATATTCTATGAAATTATTATACGTGTTTTATACGATTACAATGCCTCTCATGTATAACCGTGTCATCTATTAGTTGCGTGTAAATATACACTGAATCATTTATTCAACTGATTGATTGAAAATTGATTGTAATTCTATACGATTGAATTATTAATTTTGCTATAAATTATGTTTGTACCATTATAACAAATCTACTTTTTATTTTGTATATATAAAAGAATAAAACATTTAATATATGTATATACTGGCCTAATAGTTTTCACTTTGTTAAAATAACTTACAACTCTCTTTTTGATTTTAGAAGTAAAATTTTTATAGTCATCTACCTACATGAAAAATATCAAATTTCTTATTTTGCCATCGGAAAAAAAATGCGCCACACCAAATATTTTGGTTCACGGCTTAAAATGATGTTCAAGTATTGTAGAAACAGGATATCTTATTATTTTGGAGTGACTCGAAAATTTCATTTAAATTCGCTCAGGAGCACCGTGAGTGGTACGCAAAAAACACTCCAACATGGTCCAATTCCAGATACCAACATCAATTGAATTGCATATTGCTGGACGGTTTAGTACCTCGTGTTATCGGGCGCGCCGTTGTCACATTGCTCGATATGAATTTTAACGAATTTTATATTTATTACAACGCTAATTATTTTTTAGAATTAAGCATAAAGAAGTTCAAGAAAGTGATAAACATTGTATTTTATGGTATTCTATGCACGCAATTATGTCAAAATTCCTTAATTAATCGAACTTTTGTACATCAAATTGGAGATTTTGATATTTTTTTCTCGGAAATGGGGTAAAATTTTCCGAGAAATCGAATGATGTTATTAGTTTTAAAAGAAAAATTTATTAATAAAAAATGCGATTGAAAGAAAAACATTTTTCGAAAAATAACTTTTTTAAAATTCGTATTTTATAAATAATGGCTAGAGAAAAAGTAACAAAAGGATTTTGAAGTTCGAAGTTCATATTTTTAAGAAAAACATACCCCGTATTGATAAAATGATATTATCGGTTTTTCCTCATGTTCAAAGTTATTTGAAGGTCAACTCTTATTTTTTTGATGATGATGAATGATTATACTTGCTAGTTTACGTACGCTATGCTAAAAGCTTACCGAGGCAATGTCAAAGTTTAAAATATTCTGCATAAACGACGGAATCTTCGTCAGCAACGTCCAATACCCCCAGCTCTCACCGCAGTCATTTATAACGATAGCCCAGAATGGCACCGAAGTAAGTATTGCCAACCAAGGAGTTGGTGCCGTCTAAAAAAATGTTAATCACCCCGTACCTAATAAAACCGGAAGTACTTACCTGTCCTGCTTCCTCGACCTCGGATTTCAGCCCAGAATTGATGTATTTCTTTTCAGAAGCCGATATAAATCTATTCTTCGACGGGCAGTCCGATCCCACAACCATCCAAACTAAAGTCCACGCTATACCGAAGGCTCCAAAAATATAGTACGCCACTGGCCAGCCCAAGTTCTCCGCGTCGGAAATCAAACCGGTTATAGGCATGGCTATAACAGTTCCTAGGGGTGCTCCTGCGTAAGCAAAGCCACAAGCTTTTGCTCTGTCCTCTAGTGGACACCATTTTCCTAACATGTTGTGCAGGCAAGGAAAGAGGAAACCTTGCGACAGACCTTGAATTACCCTGCACGCGATGACGCCCTGGTATCCGAAGGTCGCACCAAAAATTGGTATCAGGATGGAAAACAAGGAACCCAGGAAATATGTACCCGCCAAGAACCATTTCGGTCCGAACCTCTCTGCCAGCTGACCGGCTAAGATCTGGGTGGCGAGGTAACCCCAAAAGAACGAGGAGAGCATTATGTTTTGTTTGGACTCCCATTCTGGGTAAGTCTAAAAAAATGGGGTATATTTCCTGTGTACAGCTGGGTGAAAAGAGAGTACTTACTGGGATATCTTCACTGGGAGGATCGCTGCTTATCATGGCTATAACCGCCACATTTAAGGACGTCCTAATCGCGTAAGCGCACAAAGCGGCGGTGAAAAATAGAACGTACTGTATGTGGCGTATACCAAACCAACGCACTAAAAATTCACGAATTAAACTGCTGAACCCTTTAGTTTTATCGGGTTTTGTAAATTAAAAAAAATTAACTTACCCGGTTCTTGAACTTCTACTTCATTTTCACCTTTCATATTTCTGATAACAAACAAAGAACTGCCAGCCTAGACGATGCAGAAGAACACTTTACTACTAACTAATATTTCTCCTAATCTTTATTGCATTAAATCCACAAATCTGGATTTATTATTCTTGATAATGACATTCCACATTGTTGTAGTTTTATGTCGGATCAAGCAGTCATTTGAGAATGGAAATTGAAACCTCGTTTCGTCCAACAAAGTGTCACAATGTTCCTGTAGATGTCGCTATACAATATGTGTCCGTAGTAAAAATTGTGCTAATATTTCGTTCATAATATTCGTGCATTTTTACGATCACAAAGTCATCGCTCCATGCACATGTTTTAAAAGCATATGGCTGCGTAAAGCACAAAACCTTAAGAATGCGATAAAACATATGTATTGTAAGAGGACCTAATGCGAAGAAGTGGCAAGAGGATACAGACCCATGTCGTTTTATATTAGTGTAATAAGTGTAACGGAAATAAGACTATTTGTACATAAATGCGTAGGCACAAGTTAGAAAGGTATAGTAGCACATTATTGTGTTAATTTCTCTAACTATCCTCATCATCATCATCATTAACGTTGTCGTCATAATCATCGCCATCGTCATAGTTATTGTCACAAGTCGTCGTCATCGTCACATATCATAGTCACACGTCATCGTCATCATCACACTTCATCGTGATACATCGTGACACTTCGCACGACACCATTTTGAATAGATCGAAATGTAAACTTGTTAACAAAAAGGCACGTTATGTAAAATCTTAGGGTTTATTTCTACTGTTGCTAAAAAGGTATATTCCACTAACAACCGATCTATTTTCTGTTTTTTCTAACGTTAAATTTGGGCAATTCCAATACTCACTCTCTAGCCCAGATGTAAAATTAAAGAAAACGAACTTAACTTTTCACTAAAATAATTTTTTATTCACTTATAAAAACTTATACAATATCAGATTTATCACAAAATTGTTGAGTTGGAGAAAACAAACATTTATTAGAAAATATCTCATTCTCTCCATTTTCTCATTTGTGCCCCACTTAAAACAGTGATTTTCAAACACTCCTTTCACTATATTAAATTATTTGGCAATAACTGACTTCTTTCTATCGAAAATATATACGAATTTCATTAAAAGTTTAAAATATGTGAGAAATATTTACATTACAATTCCAAGAAATAATTGTTTTCTTACATTCAAATTTGTACATGAAGGTTGCGTGTTAAAAGAGTTTGTATCATTAAATACGTCTAATAATAAAAATATAAATTAAGTCATTCTTCAGTGTCTCCAGTATTTGTATTTGTTTTAGACGCTATCATATTTCTTCTCCAGTTGTTCTTTGCTGAGCCCAACAGGGCTTTTTTTACTAAGTTCCAAGTTGTCCCAAGGCTGTACTTCACCCGACGCAAAGAACGCGTAGAATGTACCAGTAAGGATGTAGATTATGGCCGCTATGGAGAAAACTATGTTCCACATAGATTTGTCCGTCTGAAAAAAGGAAGAATATAGAAATTCGCTCACATTCAAGTAACCTAATTGATTATGAAAATGTAAAAGCAAGATAACCATAAATGAGGTGATCCAAATCCTAAATATTCCAACAAATAAAATCTAAACTACCACTTCAACCTCGTCTCATTTGTGTCCTTGTCTAGATTCGATTTCGATTACAGTTCAACAAAAACGACGGCCTATAAAATCAAGCTGATATTCGTAACTTACCTCTTCATAGCCCGTAATGGATTTGACAGCGTCCACGGCCAATGGGGCTATGATGGAGAAAACGTTGGACAAACTGTTGGTGATCCCCATGAGGGTCCCAGAATGGATCGGGGATATGTCTATGTGGTTCACATTGAAACCAGAAAGCACACCGGCGTTGAAGCCAACAGCAATCACCAGGATAACGATCGTGACTTCCTTCTGGGAGCTACCCACAAAATTGAGAGCGAAAAGAGCAACGGCGGGCACCATCAAACCTAAATAATCCTTTTACAAGACGTCCACCGAATACATATCGTCAGACTTACCTATGGAGTTGAAAATTTTCGTGCTGGTGCCTCTGCTCACTACTTGCTTTAATATTAATGTATCGGCTATGGGACTCATGACGAAACTAAGCAGCCAGAGAACAAAGTAAGGAAGGGCAGAGAGGTAACTATTCTACGAAAAAATAAATCACTATTGTCTTTGATCGACCGCGAAAAAATGGTGACTTACGGAAGCTATTTTGAATTTCAGAATGTTCTCCATATAACTTGGTATTTCCGTGAGCAAAGTCCAGAAGCCCCAGTTTTGCCCACAATGGGCTATCAGTATAGCGTAGAACGGCAAAGAGGTAGCAATGGACGACCAAGGTGTTGGTACGACCTGAAAATAATTACAGATTAACCAGAACTCTTGATGATAAGTCTGAAATATCAGTTGGTGTCTAGTGGGCAATCGAACTGGGTATTTATTAAACAAAAAATGTTTTACCTCTTTTTCTTCAGTACTGGCTCCATCTTCCAAATATCTTCTTTCTTCTTGAGATATTCTTTTATGCTTTGAGGGACTATCTGATCCAAAAATTATCCAGAAGATGATCCAGGTCATACCAAGACCACCATATAAGTAAAACGTTATGGGCCATCCGACAGTAGAGGCAGATATTGCTCCAGTTATGGGCATAGCCAATACATTACCCAAAGGACCAGCTACAACAAATGTTAGATTAAAGATATCTACAGATTGGGATTTTAAGCAGAGGTATAGTTACATATTATGAGAGGTTAACTTTTTTATTTTTCTTGATTTACCTGCATACACGAAACTCCCAATGACTGCTCTGTCAACAATGGGCACCCAGGCGCTTAGCAAATTGTGCACAGAAGGGAACAGGAACCCCTGGGTCATACCTTGAACAACCCTGCAGGCTATAACCCCTCCGTACCCAAACTTCTCGCCCATTATCGGCAAAAGGATGATGGCCAAGGAGCATATGAAGATGGCGGAGCCAAGGAAGAGCTTGGGTCCGTAATTTTTGGCCAGTTGTCCGGCGCCGATCTGGAAACAGACGTAACCCCAGAAGAAAGAGGACAGCATGATGTTCTTCTTGTCCGTCCATTCCGGATACGTCTGAAAATTGGAAACGTTTATCACTTGAAAATTAGTTTGAAGCTTCTGTGGCAGAAATTTACTCACTGGTATATCAGCAGTGGGCGGTTCATTGCTGATCATGGCGATGATAGCTACGTTGAAGAGAGTTCGACTTCCGAAAACTATCACGGTAGCCGCAAAAAGCAGAATGTATTGTTCATGACGTACACCAAACCACCCAGCTGAAAAAAATGTAAAAAAGTCAGTGCGTGTTGACTCTAATTGATCCATCTGGTCTAGAGAGTTTCATAGTAAATATTTAACTCTAAGAACTGGGTGAAAAATTGTTTTAAAATCCTCACATGAATTGTTGCTTATTAACTTTTGATGCATTTCTAATTCTTGCATTAATAATTTTAACGAACAACAACGTATTTTAAGATTATCGGGTGGATCATGTGATTGAAATGTTAGTCATTAGAATAATTAGCAGTTACCGCATCAAGTGTCGAAGTTATCAAATATTTTTATAATTTTTTAATTGGTGTATCAGATCCTATAAATGGTAAACAATTATGACTTGGAACAAAGAATTTTTTTATTGTATTTATTCAGTTGTAGCTGTGATATGCTTTTGCGTCTTTAAGAATAGCAACATTTTAATTTTATTTTTTAATTTGTATGCCATAAAATATTAATCCTTACTTACCTGGTTTGGGTGGAGCGTTAGATTTTTCCGATACCTCTTTTCCGTCCATGATTTTTACTCGAATTCTTCAGTATCAAGAATATATAATATCAAAAGGGGTACTTAGGGTAGTCAAGAAAATACCACAGGTATTTTTTGCGAGGCGTTAGCTACGAAGAAAAGCTAACAAATGAGGAAATTTTCGGTAGGATACCAGTTTTATTCGAAGAAATCTTGACTGAAAATGACTAGGGTAATTATCTAATCTGCACATATTCTTTGATTTTTTAGAGTATGACGATTTATGCAGTAGGTACCTACCGATAAAAGAAAAGATTACATCGACTCAACAAGTTGACACTTTACATATACCAGAACATGAATATTGCATTCAGAAAACTACAAATAAACATAACTTTCCAAACCACACTGATTACTGTCTTAAATTTTTACTGTAAATTGAAATTTGAAAAAAAAATTTCCTATAGGAAATGAAAATTTCGCTTAGAAATCATACTTCTTTTGACATTAACTTAACTGATAAAAGTAAGTTTGTCAACTCTTCTGTACCCCTGTTGTACGCCACTGCCTCTAACAGTGTTACTTTATCTGTTACAAAAACAAGAGCGTCTATTTTTTTTTAAGGATTTAATTTCTGGAATTCTGGGGGTAAACAAAAATTATATATTAATGACTAATTTTTGGAAAACAATGCCATCTATTTGCGTTATTATATATTATTGCAATTACTGTTTAAGAAAATGTTGTGAAATAGTGATCACAAAATTAATGTACGCCATTATATGCACAAGGAAAAAATGCAAAAATCATAAGATAACGTGTTCTTAAGAATTTAAAGGAAAAATTTGATCGGATAGAGTATCTTGATTATATCATCGACGAGTACTTAGAAACTACCAAACGCTTATCGATATACAGGGTGTCCAAGAAATTATTTCACTGTAGCATAAGTCAAAACACTTAGTTACATTAATAATAAACAAAAAAGAGGATGCACACATGCAAATTATGAAATGTCCGCAGTGTATCAAGACAATTAAATGTATGTAAAACTAATGTTCACAAAACAAATTTGCATGTGATAGGTGATGAGAATCCTAAAGAAACACGACCATAACGACATTACCTGATAGCCACAGCAATCAACAATCTTGTTTTCACCGCCTACTGAACTCAAAGTTTTAAATCCGCGACACTGCTACGCAAACCCAAACATACAGACCTGCGTGCAGATAATGCCATTTTTCTCAAGAATGGCTTTCTCTAGGCGATTTTCTCAAGAGACATTTTTTTTAATAAAACAGCCTTTCCAATGTTGCTGCCCGTTTAAAAAAAAATACGACCATTGTAAAAGTTTTGACCGCTAAAAGGGAGAGGTAACCGGAGAAAACTATCACCCAGTATATCGATTTGACTAAAGCTTTAAGAAATAACACGCCATAATAGTCCAAATAAATGTACCAAATTATGAAGTTATTAATTAAATTAGTTTTATTTTTGACAACTTTGAAGGCTTGTAACTCAAAAGCCAACAATTTTTTATTTAACTTTTTTTAGTAGACCATATTTATTTATCTTCGTAAATATTCAGTCGGTGAAATTTGCGGACACTCTGTATATTTATCACAAAACAAATTAGTAGAAATATTTTTAAAGGAAAATGAACCTTTCTCAACGTTCCTTATTTGACGATCATCTTATTTAAGTATCCAGTAATTTTTATTTGCATTGAATAGTAAAATTAATAACATTTTGGTGTTCTCATTCTCTTTTCTCTATCGGGTATGGAAGGTGTTGTTCTTTTATCGACTTGGGACCACCCTGTATAAAGTATTTTTTGTCTAAATTCCTATAGGCTAGACTTCGAATGTTGACATTCATCCGCGACTTCAGATATTTTATTAATGACCCTTTCTAATAAAGACATTTTAATGAAATATGCAGGTTCTCAAAATCATTGAAAGAATGATTTACCTTGCAATGTGATTTTATTGGTAGCTAAAATAACAATAATTGCGTGTACCTATTGAAAAGGTCATAAATTGTTGGAGGATAACGTCTTTTTGATGACACTATTTTTATTAGATCGAAAAGTAAATAAAATAACATGTTATGCTTTGTTCTTAAACAGGTTTATTGCAATAAAAACCACTATTTTCTGTTCTTTATAAAATGGAATAAAACGAACTTAACTTTTTACAACAAAAGTTTTTTTCAATTTATTTACAACTTCTCTCGGTCAAAAATGTATACGAATTTTCTTAAAAATTTAAAATGTGTGAGAAATATTTACATTACAATTCCAAGGAATTTTCTTTATACATTCCTATTTGTACTCGAAGTTTCCGCGTTAAAAGAGTTTATATCATTAAATATCCCTAATAATAATAAAAATATAAATTAAGTTATTCTTCAGTGTCTCCAGTATTTTTATTCGTTCTCTTCTAGACACTTTCATATTTTTTCTCTAGTTGTTTTTTGCTGAGCCCAGCAGAGCTTTTTTCACTAAGTTCCAAGTTGTCCCAAGGCTGTACTTCACCCGACGCAAAGAAAGCGTAGAATGTACCAGTAAGGACGTAAATTATGGCCGCTATGGAGAAAACTATGTTCCACATAGATTTGTCCGTCTGAAAAAATAAAGAATATAGAAATTCGCTCACATTCAAGTAACCTAATTGATTATGAAAATGTAAAAGCAAGATAACCATAAATGAGGTGATACAAATCCTAAATATTCCAACAAATAAAATCTAAACAACCACTTCAACTTCATCTCATTTGTGTCCTTGTCTAGATTCGATTTCGATTACAGTTCAACAAAAACGGTGGCCTATAAAATCAAGCTGATATTCGTAACTTACCTCTTCATAGCCCGTAATGGATTTGACAGCGTCCACAGTCAAGGGGGCTATGACGGAGAAGATGTTGGATAAACTGTTCGCGATCCCCATAAGGGTCCCCGAATGGATCGGGGATATGTCCATGTGGTTCACATTGTAACCAGAAAGCACACCGGCGTTGAAGCCAACAGCAATCACCAGGATAACGATCGTGACTTCCTTCTGAGAGCTACCCACAAAATTAAGGGCCAAAAGGGCCACTGCCGGCACCATGAATCCTAAATGGATCTTTTTATAGAACCACCCAGTTAATATCGTCAGGCTTACCTATGGAGTTGAAAATTTTCCTGCTGGTGCCTCTGCTCACCACTTGCTTGAGTATTAATCTATCGGCTATGGGACTCATGACGAAACTAATCAGCCAGAGAACTAGGTAGGGAAGGGCAGAGAGGTAACTATTCTGTGAAAAAATAAATCACTATTGTCTTTGATCGACCGCGAAAAATTGGTGACTTACGGAAGCTATTTTGAATTTCAGAATATTCTCCATATAACTGGGTATTTCCATGAGCAAAGTCCAGAAGCCCCAGTTTTGCCCACAATGGGCTATCAGTATAGCGAAGAACGGCAAAGAGGTGGCAATGGACAACCAAGGTGTTGGTACGACCTGAAAATAATTACCGGTGAATCAGAACTTAGAAAGTGGTTGGTGCTAAATCTGAAATACCAGTTGGTGTCTGGTGTGTAATCCAACTGCATATTTACTAAATACAAAATGGTTTACCTCTTTTTCTTCAGTACTGGCTCCATCTTCTATGTATCTCCTTTCTTCTAAGGATATTCTTTTATGCTTTGAAGGATTATCTGACCCAAAAATTATCCAGAAAATACTCCAGGTCATACCAAGACCACCATATAAGTAAAAAGTCATGGGCCATCCTATAGTGGAGGCAGAAATTGATCCAGTTAAGGGCATAGCCAATACATTACCCAAAGGAGCAGCTGTAGTAAAAAATACATTAAATATTTTAAACAAAAATATAGTACACCAAAACAATTATTAACTTTATAACCTTTTAATTTTTTTAAATTTCTTGACTTACCTGCGTACACGAAACTCCCAATGACTGCTCTGTTTGCAATGGGTACCCAGGCGCTTAACAAATTGTGCACAGAAGGGTACAGGAAGCCCTGGGTCATACCCTGGACTACCCTGCAGGCTATAACTCCTCCGTACCCAAACTTCTCCCCCATTAAAGGTAAGAGAATGGTAGCCAAGGAGCAGATGAAGATGGCGGTGCCTAGGAAGAGTTTGGGTCCGTAATTTTTGGCCAATTCTCCGGCGCCGATCTGGAAACAGACGTAACCCCAAAAGAAAGAGGACAGCATTATGTTCTTCTTGTCCGTCCATTCCGGATACGTCTGAAAATTGGAAACGTTTATCACTTGGAAATTAGTTTAAAGCTTTTATGGCAGAAGTCCACTCACTGGTATATCATCAGTGGGCGGTTCATTGCTGATCATGGCGATGATAGCTAAGTTGAAGGTAGTTCGAATTCCGTAAGATATCAGGATCGCCGTAAAAAGCAGAATGTATTGTTCATGACGTACACCAAACCACCCAGCTGAAAAAAAATGTGAAAAAGTCAATGCGTGTTGACTCTAACTGATCCAGCTGGTCTAGAGAGTTTTATAATAAATAATTAACTTCAAGAACTCGGTGAAAAATTGTTTTAAAATCCTCTTATGAATTGCCGTTTATTAACTTTTAATGCGTTTCTAATTCTTGCATTAATAATTTTACAAACAACAACGTATTTTAAGATTATCGGGTGGATCATGTGATTGCAATGTTAATCATTAGAATAATTAACAGTTACCGCATCAAGTGTCGAGGTTATCAATCATTTTCATATTTTTTTATTGGTGTATCAGATCTTATAAATGATAAAAAATTATGACTTAGAACAAAGCATTTCTTATTATATTTTTCCAGTTGTAACTGAGATATGTGTTTCCGTCTTTGAGGATAGCAACATTTTTTGTTCTTTTTTTTAAATTTGTATGCCATAAAATATTTATCCTTACTTACCTTGTTTCGGTGGAGCATTAGATGATTTTTCCGATACCTCTTTTTGGACCATAATTTTTACTCGAATTCTTCGGTATCAAGAAAATATAATATCAAAATGTACTTAGGATAGTCAAG